TGTGCCATAACTTCCTGCTTCCCAGGTGCTTTTGCAGAAGCTGAATCAGGAATGGATTCCAAGACTTTAACAAAGACTCCATATGTGATGTGAGCAACCCAGGTGGCTCCACCAGAACATGTGGCCCTATCTTACTTTCTTTCTTAATGATATATTGTAATTTTCATTTCTGGCCATTTATTATTTTTTGTGACCCTATATGTGCTCCATTCCTTTATTGCAAATAAAATCTTTTTTTTTTTTTGCCTTTTCCTGTCCCCATGTCTAATTCCTTACTCATTCCCTTTGTCCTGGGGCCTTCCTCCCCCTTTGCCTATTAATACTTCTTATCAGAGTTCCAAAGAAAATTCTTCTATTACATGACCTTGAAAAAGTCCCATCATTTTTCTGTTGTCTGCTTTTTTATTTTGAAAGATAGGACTGGAACTAATTGGCATATGGAGTTCATTCCTGATTTAAAAAATTAATTTACAAGATCTGGTAGAACTTTTAAGCATATAACTCTTTCCACAGACAAATAAATTTGAGTATCTATTTATGCAAGAAAATGCCTTCATAAGAGGTAAGGAAATAAGACATGAGATTACAGCATCTAAGTGTAGAATTAAGAAATAGGTGTCAAAATAAGAAGACACATTAAAGAGGTTCAGAAGCACAGGTTTACACTACCTGCATCACCCCTACACCAAGTCCAGGCAGCATATTGTAGAGAGAGATATCTCCTTTTAGGGGAAGGAAAAAGGGGTGAACATCAAACTTCACTTTAACTCCAACATTTGGCCTATCCCTGAAAAAGTTAGTATTGTACTGATCCTCACAGCCCCAGACGCCTGGCCAGGATCTGCAGAGTGAGCCTGTAAGCTCACATCTGTGATGCCTGAGGCACCCAGCAAAAGTCTATATTCCTGCCCAGTTGACTTGCTGAAAAGTAGAAAAATTTTCCTAAGTTTAGGAAGAAGACAATTATAGTCAATCTCACCATTTCTATTTAACATATGATAGTACTGGCAGTTTTAGCCCAATTAATGAATAGAATATATAAAATATATTCAAATAGGAAAAGAAAGTATCAAATAGTTCCTGTTGCTGACAACTTGATATTATACACACACACGTACACACACACATGCACACACAAAATTGTTAGAGCTAACAAATGAATGCAGGCAAGTTGTAGTATATAAAATGACATATAAAAATTCCCAATATGTCTATACACTAACAACAAGCTACCTGAAAAAAAAGCTAAGAATCCAATTTCCAATAGCTAGAATAAAATGAAATGAGAATAAATTTAATCAAGGAAGTAAAGACCTCTACACTGAAAGCTATGAAACACTGTTGAAACAAACTGGAAAGACAAGAAAAAGAAAAAGAAATCCTATATCTATTTTTGGAAAAATGAATATTATTGAAATATCCATTATACCCAAAGTGATCAAGACATTCATTTAAATATCTATCAAGATTTCAATATTTTTCATAGAAATAGAAACATCCTTTCTAATAGCTGAAGTAATCATGATAAAAAAGAACAAAGTATAAACCATTGCACTACTGACTTCAAAATCTATTAAAATTTATAGTAAGCACAATAGCATGGTACTGGCATAAAAACAGACAAATAGACTAATGCAACAAAAGAGCTCAGAAGATAATTCAGATATTTATGGTCCTTGATTTTTGAGAGGTGTCATGGACATATAATAGATAAAAATAATGTCTTAATTAAATGGTGTTGATGCAAGGGAATATTCACAGGTAAAAGAATAAAGCATGAAACTAATATCACATCACACAAAATCAACTCAAAATTTTATGAAAACCTAAAGAGAAGACATACTAGAATAAAATGTACTGGAGAAGCTCTGTGATGTTGTTCTGAACATTTTTTCTTTAATTTGACCCCAGAAGCACAGGCAGCAAAACTAAAAATCTGCATAACTCAGGAAATAATCAACAGAGTGGAGAAATGACCAATCAAACAGATGAATTTACCTATTTTGGGGTTAATATCTAACATATATAAAGAACTCAAACAATTCAAAAACAAGAAAATAAATATTTCACTTAAAAAATGGGCGAATGTTGGGGCCAGCATTGTGGTGTAGAGGGTAAAGCTGCCACCTGCAGTGCTGGCATCCCATATGGGTGCTGGTTCAAGTACCAGCTATTCCTCTTCTGATCCAGCTCCCTGCTATGGCTTGGGAAAGTCTCTGGGCCCCTGCACCCATGTGGGAGACCTGGAAGAAGCTTCAGGCTGCTGGTTTTGTATCAGCACAACTCTGGCCATTGTGGCCATCTGTGGAGTGAACCAGCGGATGGAAAACCTCTCTCTCTCTCTTTACCTCTCTTTCTCTCTCTGTGTAACTCTGACTTTCTTATAAATAATAAAATAAATCTTTAAAAAATGGCCAAATGTCTCAGTAGACATTTCTCAACAGAAGACATACAAAGGTCCAAGAGATTTATGAAACAATGCTGAACATCACAATTCATGAGGAAACTGCAGATCAAAATCACAATGAGATATTATCTCACTCCTCTTTGAAAGGAGTTATTATCACAAAGGTGAAAGACGAAAAATGAAGATGTGAAGAAAAAAAATGTTTTTGCATGCTAGTGTGAATATAAATTATGCAGTCATTAAGGGAAATAGCTTGAAAATAGCACAAAAAATAAAAAAGAAATATAATCTGATTCAACAATTTGTCTACAATAGTCAAGATAAGGAATCAACCCAAACATCCAACAAAATGAGTGCGTAAAGAAAATGTGGTATATGTCCACATTTAAATACTATTTTACTTAAGGAAAAAAAGAAATTTTGCCATTTAAAACAACATTTATGAATTTGAAAGCTATTGTTTTAAGTGAAATAAACCAAACTTTTCAAATACCACATGACCTCAATTATGTATAGAATCTATAAAGATTGAAATAATAGAGTCAAATAGTGGAATAATGGTTACCAAGGGCTGTGGGCAGAAGTTCTGTTGGGGAGATGTTGGTCATAGCATACAAAATTTTCGCTAACCAGAAGTGATGAATTCAAGACATCTTTTGTATTTCATGATGTTTATAACTAATAAATAGTTGTATCCTTGTACATCACTAAGATTATATTTTAAATGTTTTCACAAAAAAGAAAAGTGTATGAGGTTAAATACATGTTAAATAGCTCAATTTAACTATCCCACAATGTGCATCTATTTTATAATATAATGTTGGAAATGATAAATATGCTTAAGCATTTTTAATTTAAAAATTAATTTGAAAAGGTTATTCTTTTTACTCTATCACCTATATTTTTCCACTTCCTATTAATTTATTCTATGAAGTCAAATACTTCATACTACCTTCTGTTGGAAATATTATTTTTGCTAATTATAATACCTACTTAGTCCATCATAGTGGTTTTTAAAAAATTATTTATTTTAAAGACAGAGAGAGAAAGAGAGAGAGAGAGAGAGAGATACTTTCCATCTGTTGATTCACTCCCCAAATGCCCACAACAGCCAGTAGGGGCCAAGTGGAGGCCAGGAGTCCAAAACTTCATCTGGTACTTCTACATGGGTTATAGGGACCTAAATACTTGGGCCATATTCACTGCTTCTCACCCACATCAGTGAGGAACTGGATTGAATGCGGAGAGTGGCCAGGACTTGAACCAGGCCCTCTAATATGGGATGTAGGCATCTCAAGGGGTGATGTGATGTAAGATGCTGTGCCACAATGTCACCCCAATTAGTGGTTTCTCAAATTAATATACTGATATTTTAAAATCCATATTCTTTTCAATTAGTTCTGTTTGATTTTACACAAATATTGACCCATTCCTTTACATTATATATAATGTTTCTAGTTAATGAAAATTCATAATTTAATATATTATTTCTTAGGTTCTCCTCTCTCTTCTTATTTTTAAATTCTTAATAGAATCCTACACGTATTACAGAAAATAATTTTTATAGGCCTCCTGTTTTTATTCATTGTGCTAATTAGATTTTCAGAGCCCTGTATTTTTGTGTTATGATTTAATAAAAATATACAATATTTCTCTTAAACACACATATATTATACAAGACTTACAGAGGCATATTGAGGTTGTGCTTTTATTTTTGCAACAGTAACAATCCTTAATATAAAATAAATCACTTCCTTTCTCCGCATATGTCAGTGCTTACCACTTGTGTTATTTTCTTCACACCCTTTCACTGTAGAAACAGATGTTCTATGCCAACTGGAAGAAATAATGCTAGAGGCAATTGCAGACCACCTGGCTACCTGGACAAAATTTCACATTCCGTGGCTGTGTTTTCCCTTTTGGTGACTCACTTATCCTTTCTTAGTGTTCAACCCTATAATAATTTCCAACAGCCAAAACCAATTGACTTCATGCAGAGGAATTACAGAGGGAATGTGACAGATTATGTCACAGGACAACAAGTCATGCTGACCGTTTCTCATTGAACATTTACCCTGAAGGACGTTAAATACCTTTTATGTCAGCAAATTTCCTTAAGGTCAAATATATATTTACAGATACAATTGCGGTGTTTTCCAAAGGAATGAGATATCTGAAAATGCTTTGTAAAATGAATTTTTAATATATGCTAACTTCCTAACAATTAAAATCTGGGATGATGGCTAATTTGTACAGTATGACTAAATTGTGCCTTGCATACACAATGTGAATCTCCCACAGAGCTTTTCCCAGTGATAAGAAGTTTGAGTGTGATTTTTCCCCACTCTTTTCTTCCTTTAAGCACTCTATTTCTTCTGTGACATCTTCCCAGTTTCCCCAACTGCAAATACTTAGTCATGTTCCAATTGTTTCTCATCTGTTCTCCATATTCAATTAGTCACCAAATTCTTAGTTTTTTTTCATATCTTTTCTCATGTGTGTATTTTATTTTTTCCTGGAATACATCTGGAGTTCACTCGTTAGTAATTCTCTGTCCAGTCTTGTGCCTGTTCAGACACACAGAACACATTGCTACCACAATATTTTCCCAAAGTTTAGCTCTTATATCATCCACCATTTGAGATGGAAAAACATGCAGATTGGAGACTCCATGGTCTTTGTATTCTCACTCCCAATGTGTGCGTGTGAAGTAAGTCAGCTTTCTTAAGCTCTCTTTGTCTAAGCTTTCCTGCTTACAAAAATAGTCATAATAAGATTTTGCTGTTCTTGTTAGAATGGATACATTTAGAGGTTTTTAAATAATGTCTAGCACTTTCTATGTACTAGATAGGTCTTGTTTAATATTATTTAAAAACTACCAGTGGCTTCCCACAAGTTCCAGGATACCTTAGTTGGATAGCAAAGATTCTTTGAGAGTTCTTCCAATATTGTGCCCCAACACTGACAATTCAGTGTCTAAATGAGAGGGAATGAATTACAAAAGTTAATCACATTTTTAGATATCAAGTGACCATTTAGGCATTTGAGACAAGATAACAAATGTTTCTTTGTAATATAGATAATAAAAAGCTTCCTTGCTATGATACGAAAAATGTTCATTATTTTTAGACTAGGGTTTTTCCATGGATTTGTTTTTAAGGATGACAACTCTAGTCACAATTTCATTAAAACATATTTCAAATGTTTATATCACAATGGATTTAAAGTGTTTGTTTGCTTCTCCTCCTATGCTATGGGAGTTTAAAAACCTGCCTATATAATACTGTTAATATGGTGGGTTTGGTTTTAACATCACTACCAAAATTTCAGGAAGCAGACATTTAAGTGTTACAATGCTAATTAGCTTTTATTTACCTTATTTATTAAGCATCTCAATGTGTACTTATTTTCACGATGCAATGAGACTGATAGTGAAAGGTGTTTGAATAGGTGTTCTTATTTCTTCACAAGGATTAAGTCAAGATTTGGAAACGGGATAGCAGAATGGCTATAATTCAAACTACTGCATCGGTCCTTATGTAGTGTCTGTACATTTAACACTCCATATGGTACTTAAAATTTCCTCAGATTGAGTCAGGATTGTTTACACCTTCATAAATCAAGCAGTTGTAGCAGAACAGATTCCATATAAGCATTTCCTGCTAAGACCCTGAATGTGCTTAAGAGTTTTGCAAATTTCTCTTGAATTCAAGTTGTTTGTTAAAAGTAATAGCTTCATGAGACTGCCCCCATGGAAAATGTCTTATATGCTCAAATTTTCCATTGTGATATCAGTTCTCAATTAGCACCATGTTTAGAAATGTTAAAATGGATATAATAACCCTTAGTTGATTTCCATACAAGAAAACTTGATTTACAATTAAAGTGTGATTATATGAAATGACAGCTATAGAACTTATGAGTAAGACCTGAACACACACACACACAAGCACACACACACACACACACACACCCCACAGAGACAATCACAGGCTGGTGATTTATTTTCAACGCTCAGTCTTAAGATTTTAGCATACAGGGAAAAACTTTTTTTTTTATTTTCAATACTTATTTGTTTAATTGTAAATTGTTAGATGCATTTTATCTATTTGAAAATCAGAGTTACACAGAGAATGGGAGAGACAGACAGAGAGACCTTCCATCCACTGGTTCACTCCCCAAATGGCCTTAATGGTCGAAGCTGGGCCAGACCAAAACCAAGAGCTACAATTTTCATCCAGGTCTTCCTTGTGGTTCAGGGGCCTAAGTGCTTGGGTCATCCTTTGCTGCTTTCCAAGGCACATTAGTTGAGAACTGAATTTGACGTGGAGAAGCTAGGACTCTAACTGGTGCCCATAAGGGATGGCTGCTTTGCAGGTGGCAGCTTTACCAGCTATGTCTCAATGCCAGTCCCTAATTATGAAAAATTTTTAAAGAATTTATAAAATCCTTCAGTTTGTTAGGAGAAGGTTAATTTGCAGTTTTTTTTTTTTTTTTTGGACGACAGTGAGGTTTTCATTTCTTAAACTTTTAAAACATTTTATTGAAATACAGTACACATACCAAGAGATGCACATAAATGTACAGATAAATGAGTGTTTTTGTCATCTGATCACATTAATAAAGAACACTCAAGAATGAAGAATTACTTGTACCCCAAGAGAGAGTCCTCACACCGCTACACATTTCTTTTTTAAAACATGCAATAAGAGTATATTGCTATTTGCATGTTATGACTCAGTGAACCAATTTTATAACTACCCCAAATGATATTACATCCACACAATTTTTATACTTTCTCTATTTATTGACTATCACAAATAGAAAATGTAGTATTTGTCTTTTTTGGATCTGACTTATTTCCTCTGCCTAATGATCTCCATTGAGTCCATTTTGTTGCAAATGTCAGGATTTCATTCTTTTTTGTGGCTGAGTAATACTACATTGTGTATATATACATCACATTTTGTTTATCTGGATATCAGATGATGGACAACTAGGCTTATTCCAAATATTAGCTATTGTGAATTGAGCTTATGTAAGCATGGGAGTGCAGGTAACACTTTTGTACACTGATATCATTCCTTTGGGTATATCCCGAAGAGTAAGATAACTTTGTCATATGGTGGATCTACTTTCAGATTTCTCAGGAATCTCCAAACTGTCTTCTATAATGGTTGTACTAGTTTGCATTCTCATCAGCAGTATATTAGGATTACATTTTCTCCATATCTTTGTCAGCATTTATTATTTTTAAATTTTTGGATGATAGCCATTCTATAGGGCGTGAGGTGATACATTTTAGTGTGTGTGTGTGTGTGTGTGTGTGTGTTGACAGGCAAAGTGGACATTGAGAGAGAGAGACAGAGAGAAAGGTATTCCTTTACCATTGGTTCACCCTCCAATGGTCGCTGCGGCCGACACACCACGCTGATCTGAAGCCAGGAGCCAGGTGCTTCTCCTGGTCTCCCAAGTGGGTGCAGGGCCCAAGGACTTGGGCCATCCTCCACTGCACTCCTTGGCCAGAGCAGAGAGCTGGACTGGAAGTGGGGCAACCGGGACAGAATCCAGCGCCCCGACCAGGACTAGAACCCGGTGTGCCTAGTGAGCCTCAGCGGCAGCCTCTTAGTGTGTGTTTTTAAATTTTTATTCTCATTGTGGTTTTCTTTGCATTGCCCTGATGGCTAGTGATCCTGACAATTTGCATTTCATCCTTTGAAAATGTCTGCTCATGAAAATGTCTGCTCATGTTCTTTGCCCACTTCTTAAATGGATTGTTAGTTTTGTTGTGTTTGAGTTTTTTGAAATCAAGATCAATATGTATATTAATCCTTTACCAGATGCATAGCTTGAAATTATTCTCTCCCATTGTTGGTTGCCTCTTCAGTTTGTTAATTGTTTCCTTTGTGGTACAGACACTTCTTGGTTTGCTATATTTACATTTGAACTTTTGCTTTTATTGTCTGTGCCTCTGGGTTCTTATCTAGTAATTTTTTCTCTATGCCAATGTCTTTTAGTGTTTTCCCATAGTAATTTTATGGTTCCAAAGTTTAGGTTTAGATCTTGGATCCATCATGAGTTTAGTTTTGTACAGGGTATAGGTAGGGGTCTCGTTTCAAACTTTAGCATATGGAAATCAAATGTCCCTAATCACATTTTTTTGAAAAGACTGTCCTTTCTCCAGGGAGTGATGTTAGCTCGTTTTTCAAAGATTAGTTGGTTGTAGCTGTGTCAATTAATTTCTAGGGTTTCTGTTCCGTTCCATTGTTCTGTGTGTCTATTTTTTTTTCCTGCTAGTACCAGTGAATTTTTAATATAATGGTCCTCTAATATATATTAAAATCTGGTAATGTAATGTTCTCAGCTTTTTCTTTAGTGTTTGCGATTGCTTTGCCTTTTAGAGGCATTTTGTGCTTCCATATGAACTTTAGGACTGCTTTTTATAGACCTGTGAATATTGTCCCTGGTATTATTATAAGGATATCATTGAATCTGGAAATTACTTTGAGTATTATGGACATTTTGGTGATATTAATTCTTCCAATCCATGTACACAGAAGATTTTTTCCATTTGTTTTGTCTTATATTACTTTTCTTAATGTTTTATAATTTTCATTGTACAGATTTTTCACATCCTTGGTTAAATTTATCCCAAAGTAATAAATTTTTTTTTGTAGCTACTGTGAATGGGACTGATCTTCTAATTTCTTTCTCAGTCAGAAAACTGTTGGTGTATAAGAATGCTGTTGAGTTTTGTGTGTTGATTTTATATCTGGCAACTTTGTTGAATTCTCTTCGTCTTTTGGCTCCTCTATATAAACGATCATGTCATCTATAAACAGGGATAGACTTCCTCCTTTCAGATTTTTATCCCTTTTACTTTTTTTTCCCTACCCCAATGATTCTGGCTAAAACTTCCAGAACTACATTGAATAATAGTGGAAAGAGTGCATATCATTGTCTGGTTCTGGAATTTGGTGAAAATGCTTCTATTATTTCCCTATTCAGTATGTGCTGGCTGTCAGTTTGTCATTTTCGGCCTTAGTTTTATTTAAGTATGTTCCACATATTTCTGAGTTTTAAAGGTTTTTTTTTTTTTTTTCATGAAAGACTGTTATAATTTATTGAATGAATTCTTTACAACTACTAAGATAACCAAATGTTTTTTAAACTTCATTTTGTTGATGAGATGTATCGTGTTTATTGATTTGTGTATGCTGAAAGGTCCTGGCAACCCTGGGATAAATCCAACTTGGTCTCGGTGAATGATCTTTTTGATGTGTTATTGGATTTAGTTGAGTAGTTGTTCCTGAGGATTTTTGTATCTATGGACATCAGGGATATTGATCTGAACTTCTCTTTTTTGTTGTATCTTTCTCTGGTTTTGCAATTAAGGTAATTCTGGCCTCATAGAAAGAGTTTGGAAAGGTTTTGTCTTTCCATTATCTTGAATAGTTTATAAAGAATTAGGATTAGTTCTTTCTTAAGAGTTTGGTACACCATCCAAACATGGTGGATGCATAGCCTACTACACCAAACTTATAGTGGTTTTTCCCCCCATAACCACCCCCCCCACCCGCAAACCATCCCATCTCCTACCCCCTCTCACATCCCATTCTTCATTAAGATTTTAATTATCTTTATATACAGAAGATCAACTCTATACTAAGTAAGGATCGTATAGTAGGCTATGCAATGCCAGCATCCCAT